TGAGGAGTATTTTTCCATGGTGAACGATGTAATGTCTTTCGGTATAATCCTCTATTTAGAAAGCTAGATGCCTTAAAGCAGTCACTGGCGCTACCAGTCGTGTCTTACATAACGACTACTCATGAGAAATATGTTGGTTGTGAATGTTTTAAATATACCATGTTCTCCTATAACACCCAGAACTGGCTTACACTGTCACGGAGTAATATGCTAGGTGTTTTAGAGCAGTGGTTCTCAAATTTAAAGTGAAGTATAGCCTGGAGAGTTATTAAAAATCAGAGGTGGGGACTCCACACCCATAGATTCTGATTCAGTGTGTGTGTGTGTGTGTGTGTGTGTGTGTGTGTGTGTGTGTGTATTGTAACTATGCAATTTTTTTTTTGTGTGTGTGTGGTGGAGGGGAGTTTGTCATTTAACAAGCAACCCAGATGATTCAGATGCAGGAGGTCAATGGAGTTGAAAGAGAAACATCACACCTAGAACCTACAAAAAATTACAATTCCACAGCCAACAAGAGTTGGAAGTTTAAATCACAATGTTTCTATTTATAAAAATTTGAAAATAATTGATCACTCCAGGGAAAATAAGAGTCTGCATGTTATACATTTGCCACAGGTTATCTTGTTATAGCCTGTAAGGTAATCAGGGTGGGTGATACTATTTTGACTTTGCTGATAAGGAACTTAATGCAGTTTAAATGATTTACTAAAGGTTACAAAGCTAGTTGGGGCAGGTCGCTTGAGTTTTAAACAGAGGTCAAATAAGATGGCATCTCCTCAGACACTCCTAAAGTGAAAAGCTCATGAAGAAAATACAAGCATATTTCCGGATCCAGTTTTAAGTCAAGGTCTCCTCATCTCTCTAATTCAAAGCTCTACTTCAGCAGACAACTTTGGACTAAAAGAATTTGTCATTCACCTTCAAGCATTGGCTTTGGGGACCCGATATGGACAAGCTTGTTACCTATGGTTTTGCTATTGGCAGAAAGAAAAACAAATGGTCCCCTATTACAGATAAAGATCATCACACATTTTTTCCCCAGCTGAGGACTTTGGTATTATCCCAAAGAGAGACATAACTTGAGTTTTTAATTCACTTTAGACCTGGCTTAGGCCTAGAAAAATGGAAAAACAGGGTGTTCCTTAAAATCCCACAAATGTTGCATATTTTTGGGAGAGGAAGTATACAGATGACTTTTTTGATTTCAGCAACTTTCCCTGGGACTTCCTGGCTCCTTGTCTGGTTGGGTTTCACCCACCATACCTTGAGGTGCTTTAGGGAAGATAGAGACTCTGACAGTGGAAAATCACTCTCCTTCTACAGCCTTCCTTCCCTCTGCCCTCAGGGAAAACCTGCCTTCCCCCTCGTGAGAAAAACTCCAAATATAATGAATGAGACAAAGAAATATTTAATCAAATTAGTTTAGGAAACCCCAGCAGAAACAATGCATCTTTTCAACATTTTATGATGTTATGAATAGACAACGTCTGGTGTGTTAGTCTGTCTCCGGCTCCTGGGTGAGAAATGCCCTTTGCCATCAGACACTAGCTTCATTCTAGAGCTCAAAGGAACCATGTTTATTTGCCAAAAACCTGCTCCTTCATAAGCTACAAAAACGGTTTATAAAAATAACTAGAAACATTCTTAAAATAATGATCATGATGATGGTGGCGATGACGATAAAGCAGACTTTTTCCCTCCCTCCTAAGCACTCACCAACTGTCTTAGCTCAGCTGCTATCACAAAATATCACAGACTGAGTGACTTATCAGTAACAGAGATTTATTTCTCACATTACTGGAGGCTGGAAGTCTGATATTAGGGTTCTAGCAAGGGCCCTCTTCCAGGCTGCAGACGTCTAACTTCTCCTTGTATCTTTGCATGGCAGAAAATGTGAGCTAGTCCCTGGTCTCTTCTTGTCAGATCACTAACCCCATTCATGACCTAATTACCTCCAAAGACCCTACCTCCAAATATATCACCTTCGGGGTAGGACCTCAATATATTTAAGGGACACAAACATGTAGTCCCTAACACAGTGATGGTGAACCTATGACACGTGTGTCAGAGGTGACACGCGAACTCATTTTTTTTGGTTGATTTTTCTTTGTTAAATGGCATTTAAATATATAAAATAAATATCAAAAATATAAATCTTTGTTTTACTATGGTTGCAAATATCAAAAAATTTCTATATGTGACATGGCACCAGAGTTAAGTTAGGGTTTTTCAAAATGCTGACACGCCGAGCTCAAAAGGTTCGTCATCACTGCCTTAACATCAACCTAGAACCAAAGGGATGAACATGGCTTGGGCATATTTTCAACAGTTCCCCAAAAAAGTCAGTCCTCTTGCTGATTACACCTGGGCCCAGTTCCCCCTTTTTTTTTTTGAGGAAGCAGAAAATTAGACTTTAGGCTAGTTTTAGCCAGTCTCCTCCCATTTGATTTTTAAAGTGTTAAAAATGTTTTTTGCCCTGACTGGTCATGCCTGGGTTGCAGGCTCAAACCCTGGTAGGAGGCATGCAGGAGGCAGCTGGTCAGATCGATGTTTCTTTCTCTCTCATTGATGTTTTTCTCTCCTTCTTCCTTTCTCTCTCTCTCTAAAAAAAATCAATTTAAAAATCTTAAACATTTTTTTTAATAATCGTCTACAACTTTTCAAAGAACAAACCATTGGGTGTCAGATACCAAGTGAAATAGTCCTAAAGTTGGCTCTGAAGTTATTTTCTGATACCCTGTCCCCAATCAGAATTCTTCCCAGAGAAAGACTGCAGATAATAAACGGCTCTTTAAACACAGACAGTGGATTACTGACTAAGAAATCCCAGGACACGAAGACTACATTAATCATCTCATTCAATGTCTAATGAAAGCCTCACTCTCAGCCAGACGTGTTTGACTTCAAAACATCATTTGTCTCATGAAAACAAACCAACCAGCAAAAAAGTTAAACGACATGGTATAAGTAAAAAATAAAATGTTTTTATACTGAAATGACAGGTGATTTAATATACAATTTCTTTGCTTTCAGGTGGTAGAAATAGCTCATTAAATGTCTTCAAAAAGTCTCCAACTATGGAAATTTCACCATTAAGACTAGCCTTCAAACCACTCAGACCAGCATGCAACTTGGATAGTGAAAATGTGGCATGTTAATGACTGCCTGGCAAATGTGGTCCCTACACTTTGAAAGTCAACCTCTTGATGGGAGTGAGAATCAGCAACCAGCCTAAGAGTGTGTCTCTGGTTTGGCACTGGGAGCGGCTTTTAAAGGAACTGGCTTTATTAGCCAGTCACATATCAACTGAGTCCATCCTGTCAGCTGTCACCGTCCTCTAATTTAGAAACTATCTACAGCAATCAGCTGCAGTCCCTTTTATTGTCCTGCAAGTAAAATTCCCAAATAAAATATTCGTCAGACCTCACCCATCCTTAGAAGGGAGGGAACCCAAAGCAGATATCTAGACACTGACAACTTACAAGTGACTAAGATTGTTGTAAATACTTTCCTTGACTTGCTTTTTGGGGACAAACCATGTTGCATAAAAATATAATTGATTTCCTTAAATGTACACAAAGTGTCTTTGCTGGGAAATGCTCCTTTTGCTATACAACAATCTCCTCGATCCATTCACTGCTCTGTAATTTCCTCTGTCACTTGGATTTGAAAAAGAATGTGTATATGTTTGTGTTTGTTCCTTACAGAAAGCAAAGATGCATTAAAAATATAGAAGCCCACTCCAGGGGGAAATGTCTGTACCTCTGAGCACCCATCCACAAAGGCAGCCACCCGGGCACCCTGTGGTACATCAGCTAATTGATTTACCAATTGAAAGAGACAAGCAATGCCACCTTTGGATTATTTTACATGAAACAGCTGCTGGATGTGCACCTGGACTGGGGCAGACCCAGGAGTTTTGGTTCATTTCTGCAGAGTAAGTGAGGCAAAGATTATAGCAGCCACGTGTGCCATGTACAGGCCTGCCCCTAAAACATGTATTCCTGAGCCAGGAACACCAGTGGATACAGAGGAAGCCCTTGACCCACAGTCCTTTTCTTCCTACCCTTGGTCCTGTCCTACAGCACCAGCATCCTCATGCAAATGTTTGTGCACACCAGTGTTAACATCCAACGGGCTCAGTGCACACCCTCTGCAAATAGCAGCCCCTTGGGCCCAGGGGTGTTCACACTGGCCTGGAACTGGGGATAGAATCAGATAGGCGTGGGAAGTGGGCTTTTGGCTGTTCGGGAAAGAAACTCAGGGTTCTAAGGACCCAGGGAATAGATTAGAAGTAGGAGTGCTGGCTCTGGGCCTGGAGGAGGTTTAGAACCTGGGATTGTCAAGCTTCTCTCCAGACCCCATACTGGGGAATTCTAAGATTCAGTCTGTCATTATTGATGGCTCAATCTCCAACACTGGACAATGAAAATATAAAGAAATTGTGAAAAAAAAAATGGAAACAAGTGTAAAAATCTTCAATCACAGTCTCTTTAGTTTAAGAGATGAACAATGAGATATTCTGACTAATTAATGATCTGGTTAATAGAGATATTAGATTTATCTTTCACAGGTGACTAATTATTAACTAATCAGAGTACAAATATACACTTAACATCAAAACAAAAATCAACACATTCATTGGATTATGGTGCAACACCAAATATCCCTAGTTTTCCAAGAGCCATGAATTATACACATCAGAATTGTGTGTAATTCACACAGAATTCATTACAGAAATGTGGACATGCTGCGTAGGTCAGAGGATTTAGGTTGATAATTTTCACAACAGTTAAAATTGCAAATGCCATTTCTGTGGACTGGACAACCACTTCCAGGTGCTTTGAATTGGTTTGTTTCCCTCCTGATACATTTCTATGGCAAGAGGCAACACCAGCTCTCTTGAAGTTCATCGTTGTCATGAGACACAGAAAGCCCACACACAGGAAAGGATCACTTCATGAGACACAGGAAGTCCACTCACAGTTAGTAGCACTGACCTGTCCTTTCATATCTGGAGCAATAGGAATGGTGGGCCAGATGGTTGAGTAGATGCCAAAAAACACCAGCCAGATCAGCATGCTTCCCCAGACAGCCAGGTGACTGAACTGCAGAAGAAAACACATACTCAGGCAGGGCCGCCCCACTGGCACAGGAGAGCCACCTGACTCCACCAGCTGCACAACCTCTGTGTCCAAGCTAGCCTTCCTTATGGGAAGATTCCTACGACTCTGAAGTCATTGGAGAATTCAATCTTCCAATTTCCTTGTCTCCAAATGTTGAACAATGAGTTCAAATGACTAGTGGCTCCAAACTATCCTGAAGACAAAGGTGATTTGGCCACCACAGCTGATCTTCCTCTAGATACACCCATAGTATTAGAAGGCCCGTCTTATTCCTCACCAGTTGCTCCAATTTGGAGCTATATAAAACAAGGTCTCATTAGTTTAGTAACAGAACACTGAACAGACAAAACAAACAATATGTTTTTATTTACCATTTTGAGGCATTGTTCTTTTCATTTTCCAAATACTGTAACTTTTTAAAAAATCTGGAATGGATATTACATCTTATGATGCCCCTTTAACCATCTACTGAGTTGTGAATTATTTGTTATTTGTCCTCTTACTATCATGATTCTCAATGGATACATGGAACAGACTGACAGGTATCGGAAATGGGGGGAGGTAGGGGAGTGGATGAAAGAAGGTATAAAAAACATATATATGAAACATAGAACAGACAACAGTGTGTTGATAGCCAGAGGGAAAGGAGGTGGTGAGGGTAGGTGCAGGAGGGCAAAGGGGGGATAAATGGGAACAGAAAGAGACTGTGCTTGGGGCAGTGGGTGCCTGGTGCAGTATGCAGATCATGTTCTGTTGAGTTACACATTTGAAACCTGTAGATTTTGTGAACCAATGTCACCCCAATAAACACTTCTTACTACCTCCTCCTTTAAAGTCTCAGGCTAAACCACTATCCCCTCTCACCTGGATTAATTGCCATTGTTTCTTAAGAGATTCCCTGTTTTGACATTAATCTCCCACTCATTCCCATTGTCTCAGCACAGAATTAGGAGCCTATTTAAACAGCAGTGACAGACAATCATGAAACTAATGGTATAATCTCCAAACATTGGAAATAAACAAAATGTCTAAAATGGGGTCTAATTAAATAAGTGATGGAATATTGGTAAGACTTAATACTCTAATAATGAACAATGATTTTATAGAAGTATACCCCAAGGGATGGAAAATGATTGTAATGTATTTTTAAGTGAAAAAGATGACAAAGCTCTATGTTCTATAATGCATTATCTTTTAAAAACACATAGAACAAAGTCTAGAAAGTCATTTAGCGAAGTGGTAAAGTTATAGAAATTAAAAATTATCTTTTTTGGCCTGTATTTTGTATTTTTTTTTTACAATGTGCATATACATTTGAAATGAGATTACTGTTAATAGCTTAGAGCTTTATTAAGTGCCAAGTAAATGAATCATCAGAAAACTTTGGATTGCAAATTTGCCCTGATAAAGATCAAACCACGTTTTTACATGCAAAATAAAATAAGACAGTTGGACATTGCTTACTGTTTTTTCCAAGGCTTAAAAAGAGTATCATACCAGGAAAAATATCTAGAGTAAATAGAGAAATAATTCTAGAGAAAACTTACTTTAGTCCAAGCTGTAGTCTCCAAACCAGCTTTCAGACAAACAGTGACAACAACATACTGTGAAGGAAAGAGGCATTTGGCAGACAGTATTATCCTTCGTGAGTTAGTTATTTTCTAGGAGGCATCCCAAGTATCCTCTCCGAGGCAGTTCCTCCAAGGCAGCTGCACTGGGCAAGTGCCATCTCGCGGTGCTAATGCTCTAGGGAAGTGGTTCTCAACATTCCTAATGCTGCGACCCTTTAATACAGTTCCTCATGTTGTGGTGACCCCCAATTTCATTGTTACAAATTGAACATAATTAAAGCATAGTGATTAATCACAAAAGCAATATGTAATTATATATGTGTTTTCCGATGGTCTTAGGCGACCCCTGTGAAAGGGTCGTTCGACCCCCAAAGGGGTCGCGACCCACAGGTTGAGAACCGCTGCTCTAGGGGCTAGTTTTAGGGACTACAGACAGATTTACTTCAAGAAAAGCCCTCATTTTAGTGGTTGTCTTCTCACAAGTAATAGTTAATTTTGCTCTTTATTTAACTTGGGAGAAATCACCTTCTTCAGTAATTTAAAGAATGGGGAAATCTGTTCATCATTGTGTAGAAACCATGACCCTGCCTAATCTTCACCAGAAAATGAGGTCAGCATTTCACAACCATTCTGAGCTTTAAGGACTCTAAAATATATAGTTTAACGATCTGAAATAAATGATAATGAGAACAGCTTTATATAAAGGGTTTTGAGAAGCAGAGTCCACACCTGTGCTATTTAAGAATGGCTCAGTACACAGAGAAATAAACTTACCGTGTAAACAATATTTCCAACAAATAAATAGTCTGTGGCATGACCGTTGGCCAACGCAGTGTCTGAAAAACAAAGAAGTTACTACTAACCACCGGAGGACAGCACTGCAGTCTATTTTATTCAGAATATAAAAGCAAAACTTTAGAAATATTTGTCAACACATAAAGGAATTTCCAAAATTATGTCTGTGATTCTGAATTATTTTCGTGTATTTTCTCCAAATGAAGCAAACAAAATAGAATTATCTAATTCAAGTCAGCTAGCCTGCTATGAAAACGCCAGTTTTTATCCAGAGGAGTCAAAGCCTATGTTAAGATCGGGAATGGTTTCTTTGAATGGCCAATCTCCTTTTATTCTGTTTTATGCTCAAATTCAGACCTGTGGCCTACCGGCCAAGTATATAGGAGTTTTTGTGTTCAAATTTCAACCCACACATAATTGGGCTCAGGGATTTACCCATGTGCTTGTTGAAGAATCCTATTAAAGAATTAAAATATGCTTAGTTTTCTAAAACACCATAATAATCAAGTGTCGTCACAGGTAGAATCTGGTAATCCTGGAACCCTGGACCTAGCACCAGGGCATGCCCTTCTTCCTGATTCTAGCGTGGGGAACATAAGGGTTATCCTAGGAGGAGGAGGAGAAGGAAGAGGAGGAGGAGAGAGACAATGACCACAGACTTTAAAAGGAATGATCTCAAAGCTTAGGGAGAGGAGGTGGTAAAGAGAGACTAGAAGCTTAGGTAGGATTTCATTAAAAGGGAAGAAAGAGAGCCCTAGCTGATTTGGCTCAGTGGATAGAGCATTGGCTCATGGACTGAAGGGTGCCGGGTTTAATTCCAGTCAAGGGCACCTACTTCAGTTTCAGGCTCGACCCCGGCCTGACAGGGCCACTTGCAGGAGGCAACCAATCAATGCATTTATCTCACATTCTCTCTCTCTGTCTCTCCCCCTCCCTTCCATTCTCTCTAAAAATCAATGGAAAACTATCCTTGAGTGAGGATTAACAAAAATAAATAAATAAATAAATAAACAAATAAATAAATAAATAAAATAAAATAAAAAGGAAGGGAAAAGTTCAAAAAATAAGGGAGAGGCTAAATTAACCAAGAAGGTAACAAGTTGATGTATTACCAAATAGCTATTCAAAATTGTGGGGGTTTACTTTTCAGTAAATGGACCTAAGATTGTTTTAATAATAAATGCGACATTTTATTTATTTATTTATTTATTTATTTTAATAAATTTTTATTGACTCAGAGAGAAAGGGAGAGGGAGAGAGAGATAGAAACATCAATGATGATAGAGAATCATTGATTGGCTGCCTCCTGCATGCCCCCTACTGGGGATTGAGCCGCAACCAGGCATATGCCCTTGACTGGAATCAAACCCAGGACCCTTCAGTCTGCAGGCTGACACTTTATCCACTGAGCCAAACAAGCTAGGGCTAAATGTGACATTTTAAAAGCATGCCTCAATAAAGAAACACTTGAGATTAGACAGGGCACCTTTTATTTGATTCTAATATAGATTATAGCCTTGAAAGAGGTAACAATATTCTTTCTTTATACAACAAATATTTATTTGAAGTTTACTTTATGCCAGGTACTATTATGGGAATGGGGAGACAAGGTCCCTGCCTTCAAGTAGCTCACACTATAGTGAAGGAGCCAGAATATAAACACAAATACATGTGCAATAAAATGTCAGGTGTAATCTATAGATATAAAAGCCTAAGCGACTAAATGACTGAACGACCGAACGACTGGTTGACTGGTTTGGCCCAAATTTAGCTTCTAAAGTTTTATTATGCATTCATTTCTACTTGTCATGATAGCAAAGTGCTACTGGCATTAAATAAAATGTTGACCTTGAGGTCATTTAAATACACTTAAACTAACTGTAATAAAGACAGGATTAACCTAACCTTTTAGTTCATTTCAGAAGGATAACTCACCATCACATTTTAGTATTCTGCTTAGGAAAGAGTGTCTCCTGTCCCAGTCAAACTAATATCATCTGGAAATAATTTATTCCTTGGAGGAGGAACTCCCAAACCAACTTGAGGTTCGGGACATGCCAAGCACTTCTGAAAAGATGCATCTTCTAAACAAGTCACAAGTTACCACTCTGTACACCCTGGCTCAGAAAATCCCATGGAATGGATTGCTCTCTTACAGGTTATATTTCAAATGTTTTAGAGGCAAATCCCTGTGGGTATCATTCCTTGTTAAAACTTGCCAATAGCATACCCCTGAAGGAGAGATCAGCAGTCCTATGAAACCATTTGTGGATGAATGCATTAATGAGCTACAGCTTGCTGGTAACCCCAGGCTGGAAAAGCCTGCTTTGATTGTCCAGGTTTACTCCTAAAGGTTGTTTCTGCCAAATTATTTCTTCCCACTTTGCTTAGTGTTAACAGTACTGTGGTGATTCCAACACTCTAGTCAGGAAAGTATCTTTCCTATAGTTTAGCTGTTTTAATTTTAGTCAGATATTGAAAATTCCCGTGATGTTTTTTGATAGAGGAAAAAGAACCCCCAAACCAAGGTCAGTAGTTAGGTTCCCCAAGCCAGCTTTCCAAACATCATTCCACCCCATCTGTGTAAATGTAGTAAGAACATTACTTCAGACAAAGCAGCGTGAGATGGGATAGATTGATATTTGGGAGGAAGGAGGCAGTGAGAAGGGAAAGGACAATTCTGGTGAAAAAAGGGACTCAGCCTGCATAGAGGTCTGGAGGGGGGCTCCAGCCTGACTCCATCCTGCCCCAATGGGATGGTGAGCAGCCGAGGTGGGGGTGGGGCTGAGGTACTAGGTGCCAGGTGTTGAGGTCAGCAGGTGCCAAGCCCTGCAAGGCTCTAAGAAGGTCCCTATAAAAGAGATTCACCAAAAGTGCATGTGGAGAGCTGTGATCTCACCAAACCTTTGTTTCCTTATGTTAACCAGCCTGACCAAACCCATCATTAGCACACAAAGGCTACCAGCAAGAGGAGGGGCGAGAAGGAGTAACTAACTGCCTGTTGCATCAAGAACAGTTGGCATTTAACTGAACAATCTGAGATGTCAGTCTTTTGCAAATCCAGGATCAGATTCACCCCTTTGAGGGCTGAAAAGAGAGAGGAGGGTGTTGCCTACAGCCAGTGTGTGTCTTAGAGGCCCAGGTAATGCTATGGCTTCAGGATCCGCTGACCCACAGCAGTGGTTAAGCCGGTTCTCCCAGGCTGATATTATTTGCAGAATCTGGTTGGATCCAACATAATGTAGGATTAGCCAAATGAGGTTTAGAAACACAGTCACTGACACAGACTATTGTGGACAATTGGGACAAAACCACATAGCCCTCCACATTAGCAGTGGCAGCCCAAAATGCTGCATGCAAAAACCTCTTTGAAAATAATTGCGGGAAAACCCAGGGTTTGTAAGAAAAGTATGTCTCATTTTCCTAACAGACAGAATGATCAAGGAACTTACTTCAGAATATTCCAAAGGGCTAGGCTGATGACATTTATAAAGATGCCATTTCAATTAAATGCTCATTAAAAACATTACCTCATTACCCAGCTAAACCACAAAAATCTACTCAGAAACGGTTTTGACAAAAAGCAAAATTTGAAGACAACGTTATAGCATAGCACAGTACAGTCAGAGAGGATCGGATTTAATAATCAGGAAAACAGATGGGGTGGATTTATAGGTGTATTTTGAATGTAGTAAGAATCCACGGAGCACGTGAACTAACCATCACAGGCAGCTCGAGCACATGTGACTCCGTGGGGAGAATTAAGGTGGAGGTGGCACCATTCCCTTGACATCGAGGCATGTGCCAAGAATTTGGGTTGGAGAGCAGATGCCCAGCATCTCCTGCTTTCCCTCTCCTGCCTTTTTGCTTAGAGATCTTTCAGAAGCACTTGTTCAGAGCAGCCCCAATTCCTGAATATTATCAGGCTGCCTTTCTCGACCTCACTTCTGGGCCCTTTTAAGATTCCAGAGGTTCAGAGGAGGTACAATGCCAACCAGCTACTCTTAGATTAATCTCAACAGTGAAAATGTATTCCAAGTTTCACATAACAAATTTACAAACTTTTAGAACACATTCTGTTCAAATGCTTGTACTGCCTGAACAATAACTGAAACGAGGTTTTCTGCTTCCAACACTATGTTTTCATGAAGAGAAAATTTATTTTTTCCTTTCTCTGTAAAGAGTAGTAAAAAATATTGGAAAGAGTCTATAAAAGGTAGAGTTTATTCAAGTGTTAGTGATTATAATTACATTTATAACCAACGTTGGGTTAAGTTCCTGGTTATATAAGCCTTTTGCTAGATTTTCTCTTCTCTATGGCCATTTCTGATGAATATGAAACTCAAATTTCAATATTTTTCTTTTTTCACTTGTTTACTAAAAATAGATTTTTAAAAGGAAGTAAAGAGGATGGAAAGTACACTCAATTGCCAATGTTAAACAGCCACTTTATGAGGCCATAGACTCTTTGCTTATTCTCGGGTGCCCAGCTAAATAACATTCCCCAGTCCCTGGTACCCAGTTGGAGCCCTGAAACTACTTGTTGCCACTCAGACATGAGCAGAAGTGATGGCTCACTTCTTGCCAGAGATGGTTAAGAAGAAGCTATGCTGCTCCTGATTGTCTCCCTTACAGTGTTAAGGCTGAGGGTAAACTCAGGGGCCATGCACTAAATGGAGTCGCATTGTATTGAAATAGACCCAGTTTTATTTTACTCAGGCACAGTAAGACACGCACACATGGAAATGAGTGTCAAGAGGAAAAAATTTATACTTACAGATCCCCAGAAACAGGAGGCACAGGGCACCATGCAGGGCTACATGTAGAAGCACCAGGGTTGGTCAAGGAGGCAGAGGGGAGAGCATGGCCCAGAGCCGTTATTACGGTTTTCAAGGGAGGAAATGGGCAAGGCAGGGTAGGTACGCTGTGTTAGCCTAGGATTAAATAGTTTAATAATGTCCTCAGGCACTGGGTTTAAGGCAGTCCATAGTTGTCTGGTTCCTGGCCCCAGGGTTTAGGTCAGGAGGATATTGGCTTGGTG